TTCAGAATTAGCTCATAAAATAATTTTACAATTAACTACCTACCTAGGAAACTCCCAGTTGCCCTGGTAGTAAAAAAATATCAACCATATACATTTTGCTAGCAGTAAACCTTTGTAGAGCAGGAAGGAACTGATGAAGTGGTTCCCTTATGTTTGGGTGGTTACTTACAAAGGTCATTTATAATCATTTTCCAACTTGATTTTCATGGACTCTACCACCATATCTTCCATCTCTTAAAAAGAAAGAAAGTGTTCATTTGTGTACACCTCCCATTAGAAAATAATCTCCCAAATGTGATTATTAATTTATTAAACATTCTATTAAATACTGACAGTTTTTTATAATATTCATTGAAAAACATAGACGGATCATTCAGTACTTTTAGAAGAAGTCATAGCATCCTTAAAACGAGAGTAGACAGGATACAACAATAAAACATGGACACTTTGACATGAGAAACAAAATCTTCTCCAAAAGAGTTCTCCCACCAGTCCAACCCCCTTTCTTACATTTTTGACCAGCTTCCGTTTTCTCCACATGGTTGGACTCCAATGAGCCAGTCCCAGGAACAGACACAGACCCAGATTGGATCCCTGTTTTTATATTAACAGATCAGATCAGCCTCTTCGTGGTGTTCTTTTATGCTCAAGTGAGTAACTACAGTATCTGTGATGTAGGAATCTGGTCTTATTTTTACCTACAAACTGCAGAAATGGAACTGCAGTGGTTGGAAGAGTGGCAGCCAGTGAGAAAAAATGCTTCTGTGGGTTATGCGGGGTGGCCAGGAGCACTGGTGGCAGCGGGTGGGGTGCAAAAGGATTATCAGTAGGCAATACAATGCCTGCTTCAGCACAGTTGCAAGTCAACAATAGGGAATCACAGGCTGACTGAGGAAAGCTTCAGTGGGAGCCATGGAGGTGATGGAAAGATAATTCAAAAACTCCCCTGAGTCATAAAAATACTTTTAAAAATCTATGATCAGTTCTAACATAATTTATCTTTCTGGGACCCACTACTTTCTGAAGCACCTGCTCTTTCAGGCCTCTGAACTTTTACCCTAAATACTGTGATGTGATCAGGAAAAATGATCATTACCCATTGAAATCCTAATTCTCCAGCAGTTAACTTCCATAGAAACAGCCTCTAGAGGAGACGCATCAAAAAATACCCCAGGTTCATTCCAATATCTTATAGCACTTCAGTCTTAAATAAATGGATGGTAGTATTACCATCATAAATATCATTACGATTTTCAAACTTTCAAGCTTTTTTGAAATAAAAGTTGCTATTTCCCTCAAATGCTAAAACCTTTACACACATACAAAAGCATGGCTCAGTTTTTAGAAATTTACATTGCAGCTGCGAGCTCCTAGCTAACTTAGATAATTTTAAATGCAATTAGTACTTTCAGGTAATCGATGTCAGAGTGTGTATCATGTCTCATTCTTTGCGATGTTAGACTGGGTATTTCATCATACCCCAAGATAACTTTGAAAATAGCTTCTTCCAAATTGTCTAGAGCATTTTTACCCCCAAATTAGAGTAGCCAACACAAATGATATACAAGATGTGACTTAAAGATTACTAATTTTTAAATACCTGCCTAAAATTTATATATTGAATTAAATATTTCCTCCTTCAAAGCAGTCACCTTTTGACACTTAATACATTCATCCTAAATGTGATCGCACTAATTGACAGGGCCAGGCACTAGTACCACGTGGGGTATGAGAGTAAGTCTAATAAACGTTCTGTAATCGACTGGGTCCGTGAGTGAGTGAGTGAATAAGTGAAAATAGAGAAATGATTTTAGCGCCTCTTCTTTGAGGACTCTCTTCCAAGCCAGTAACACTGTCATTTTAATTTCTACACTAATAGCAAAACTTTGTGGGTTTGGGGTGAATTTGATTAGTGAAAACATCGCTTAGAACAAGTCTCGGGAACACAACACGCAACTGAGTGGCATAAGAGCACTTAGGGAAACACAAGTCATGACCAAACTATTCCAACTCTGACCTTCTCATAACTGGGCTCTGAAGGCAATACCAGAAATGATTTAAGCATCAACAAAACTCTGAATTAGGCATATCAGCTCTAAGGTAACTGCTTTGAAAGGCTATGCTCAGAATAGAAAAACTAGCATGCTAATTTTCTCCAGTTGGACTTACACACTTACGGTCAATGTTTATATTTTTTAAAATATGACTGAGGGGAAAGGTCCTAGCCTTATGCTAATTTTAAATCCATAAAACTGCATTTTTTCCATCTGCAAAATGAAGGATCAAACTAGATGACCTCGTTCAACTTTTTCAGTGCTAACATTCCATAACTGTATAAATAAATAGTTTAAACATTATTCACACATCTTCAACCACTCTTACTAACATTTAGAGGTTTCATATTAAAGGGAACTGTCTCTTTAAATAGCCACAGGACCCCAAGGGAGCAAGGTAAGTGGGCTACACCTCTCTCTCTCTCTCTCCTCCCCCC